TGATGGAATGAGATTTCAAAATATCGGAGTCATGATCAGATGGACAGTTCCCGCTAGCCGCTAGCTATGTGCGCAACACCAGTCTGTATCACGCCTCATGAGAATGCAAAGTTTGAACGAGCCTCGGAGGGGACATGCATCCGTCGCTCCGGCCGGGCGACCCCCCGAACGAGCCTCGGAGAGGACATGCCTCTGTCGCTCCGGCCGGGGCGACCCCCCGAACGAGCCTCGGAGAGCACATGCCTCCGTCGCTCCGGCCGGGGCGACCCCCCCCGAACGAGCCTCGGAGAGGACATGCCTCCTGGAAACGCAAAGCAACGTAGGTTCCGCATCGAGCTCGACGACGTCGCCGCGGCGCTGCGGGCGCACCACGACGTCGGCTCGTCGGCCGCGGCGCTCCTCGACGCGGGCACGCCGCGCGCGAAGCTCGTCGGCTACGTCGCCGCCCCGCGCGGAACTCGATACTTGAACGACGCGCGCCGCGGATCGGGAGAGGAAACACCCCACCCCTCGGGAAACCATCGCCCCCCTCGGCTCGGGAAACCTATCGCCCCACAGGTCGTCCTCGGGAACGCGACGACGGAGGGCGACTGCGCGATCCTCGAGAGCAAGGAGCTGAGCGAGGAGGCCCCGGACGGCGTCACGTGGCGATGTTCGAGAGATTTGGGGTGGGAACAAACGTCACCGTCACGCGTCGTAGGCCCTGGACAGCGCCAAGGAGCTGCTGCCGGCCTACGCGGCGCCGTCCGTCGTCGTCCAGTTGGACGCGATGCCCGTGACGTCGCGGGGCAAGCTCGACCGGAAGCGGCTGCCGCCGCCGCCCGCGGATCTGGGCATGGGCGAGGGCGACTTCGTGCCCTGCGAGAGCCGCACGGAGAAGGTCATCGAGGCCGTCTGGCAGGAGCTCCTGGGCTACGACGACACGCCCATCTCCGCGCTCGGCGACTTCGTCGCTTTGGGGGGCAACTCGCTCCTGGCGGGCCGCGCGACGACGCGGCTCCGCCTCGAGCTCGGCCTCAAGTCGCTGCCGGGCACGGCCATGTACATGCACCCGACGATCCAGGCGCTGGCCGTCTTCGCGGACTCGATGCCGAAGCTGTCGAAGAAGGCGTCGGGCAAGGCGCCGACGGCCGACGACGCGCGGCGGGCCTTCAAGGGCTACTCGTCGACGGCGAACGCGACGGTGATCGCGGGCCAGGCCGGCGTCGCGCTCTGGGCCCTGTCGCTGAACCAGCTCGGCGGCCTGCCGACGCACGTCGTCGTCTGGGCCGTCTACCAGCGCGGCGGCGCGCTCGCGGCCGCGTTCCTAGGGCTGCCCTTCGCGACGCTCATGACCATGGTCTACCTCTGCGCCATCGCCATCATCGCGAACCAGCTCCTCGCGCCCGACGTGCCCGCGACCTTCGTGCTGAAGATCCCCCTCTGGAGCGCCAAGTACCTGTCGTGGCTCTCGGCCAAACACGCGACGCGTTTCGCGGCGAAATGCCTCGCGACCTACCTCGCGGGCACGCCGGCGTTAGGCACGTTCTACGGCCTGTGCGGCGCCACCGTCGGCGACGACGCCGTCCTCGACAGCGGCGTCGAGGTCGAGGACCCCAAGTTCGTGACGTTGGGCGCGCACTCGCGCGCGAGGGCGTGCGCGCGCGTCGCGCCCCACTTCGTCGACTGCGGCGAGCTCGTGCTCGCGCCCGTGGGTTTAGGCGCCGGCGCGCGCCTCGAGCCGCGGTCGAGCCTCGGCGCCGGCGGCGTCGTGCCCGACGACCACAAGTTGGACGGGCTGTCGTCCGTCGGCGGCGCCGCGCTCGAGTCGCCCGTGGACGACGTCCTGCCGCTCAAGGCGAAGACGCCGCGGGCGCGGCGGACCGCGCTGCGCGTCTCGCAGTATCTCGTCGGCGTGCCGCTCCTGCTTTTGCTCGAGGGCTGCGCGACGTTCGCGGCGCTCAAGGCGTGCGAGGGCCTCGTCGCCTTGGTCGACCCGGCGACGCGGACCTACAGCCAGATCGCCGTCGTCGCCGTTGCCGTCGTCTGGGTCGCGCGCGTCGCCCAGTGCGAGACCTTCTTCGTGCTCACGGTGCTCGCGAAGAAGGTCTTCGTGGGGTCCTTCGAGCCCGGGCCGCGCGACCCGGCGGACACGGCGGACTGCTTCCGCCGCTGGCTCCTGGACCGCCTCGTGCACCACCCCTTCTTCTGCGGCGCGACGGAGCCCTACGTGAACACGGAGCTGCTCAGCGCCAAGTTCCGCATGCTCGGCGCGAAAATCGGGTCGCGCGTGAACATCGACTTCTTCGACTGCGTCGAGTTCGACCTCATCTCCGTGGGCGACGAGGTCGTCTTCGGGTCCTGCGTCGTGCTCCACCCGAGCGACGAGGAGGAGGACGCGATGATCGTCGTCGAGGAGGGCGCGAACGTGCTGGACCACAGCACGCTGCTCGGCGGCGTCGTCGTCGAGAAGCGCGCGGTCACGGGCACGTGCGCCTTCAGGGCAGGGAAAGGGTGATTCAAGTTCGCTGTGTTCCGCGCGCGATCGTTCCAGAGAAAGGGTCCACGCTTCGAAAGGGCTATGATCGCTCGTCCAAAAATCAGCCGAACCGAGCGGGAAACGGCCGAGAGAGGAGCTCTTGACCCGTTTCCCCGCCCAGGTGCACGTTCGGGCCCAAGCACCACGTCTTCCCGGCGACGTCCATCTCCACGGGCAAGGTGCGGGGCGCGCCGGTCCTGCTCAAGTACCAGGGCGACGTCGAGGCGGGCACGTCGAAGCTCCCGGAGAAGGACCGCGCGCGCGTGCTCGCGGCGCTGGCCGCGCACCGCGACTTCGCGACGTTCTACGCCTTCAACCTCTTCTGCGCCGGGTCGGCCATGCTGCTGGAGCCCGTGCAGTCGCTGCTCGAGCTCGCGCCCGTCGGCGCGTTTTGGTACGCGCGGTCCGGCCTCGCGGGCAACTTCCTCGCGGCGTTTCTGGCCTTCGTCGGCGCGCAGCTCGGGAATCTGGGGTTCCTGGCGCTGGCGAAGAATCTGGTCATCGGCACCTACGACGAGCTCGACACGGAGTACTACGGGGACCTGCACCACAAGTGGGTGCTCATGATGACTTTAGGGTCCTGCGCGGACGCGTGCCTGGACGCGATCCAGGGCACGTGCCTAGCGCCCATGGTGCTCAACGCGCTCGGCGCGACGATCGGCGAGGACTGCTGCCTCTTCTACGGCGCGGTTTTAGAATTCGACCTGCTGTCCATCGGCGACTACGGGTCCACGGGCGAGGGCTGCGACATCACGTGCCACACGGTGGAGAACATGGTCGTGAAATTCGCGCCCGTGTCCATCGGCGCGGGCTGTTCCATGCGCGCGGAGTCCGTGTGCATGCCCGGCGCGACCATGGAGCCCTGCGGCGTGCTCGTCCAGGGGTCCCAGGTCCTCAAGGGCGAGACGGTGCCGGGGGGCGAGGTCTGGAGCGGCCTGCCCGCGGCGTTCGTCTGCGCGGCCGACGACGACCGCGACGCGTTCTACCGCAAGTGCTTCAAGCAGGCGACGGCGGCGGGCCAGGGGGCGCTCGTGATCCCGGCGTCGCAGCCCGGGTCGTCGCCGCCGTCGCCGAAGAAGAAGAACTCGGGCCTCGAGCTGCGGAAGAAGCAGGCGAGCCTGCGGGCGACGGCGGCGGCGCCCTTCGACGTCGACGCGGTCGCCAAGGCCCTGGGCCTGTCGCTCGCGGCGTCGGCGGACCTCTTCGCCGCGCGGGACCGCGGCGACAAGCACGCGCTGCGGCTCTTCCACACGCTGGGCCGGCTCCGGGACTCCGCGGCCGCGGGCTTCGTGAAGAAGACGCTGCCGCCGCCGGGCCGCCGGCCGCCGCACCTCCGGCCGGGCACGCTGGCCGTGGCCCTCGAGATCACGGTCGACGACGCGAAGCAGGTCATCCGCGCCTGGCGCGACGACGACGACGTCGCGACGGAGGCCGTGAAGCGGGCCAAGTTCGCGCTCTACGCGCAGCACGCGGGCCTCGACGACCCGGCGGGCGCGGAGGCGGTCTTCGCGGCCGCGCGCGGCGGCGACGACGACGCGACGGCCAAGGTCGCGGCCTACCGCCAGGGCGGCCGGGCCCTCTTCCTCGAGGGCAAGGGCGGCGCCTGGGGCAAGGGCAAGGGCGGCCGCGGCGGCGGCCGCGGCGGCCGCGGCGGCGGCCGGGGCCGCGGCGGCCGCGGGGGCGGCCGCGGCCGCGGCGGCCGCGGCGCGCGGGGCGGCCGCGACGCCGACGCCGACGGCCCGCGGAAGCCGAAGTCCTTCTTCTACCGCGAGGCCGCCTGGATGCTCGGCGGCGCGCTCCTCTTCTCCGTCATCGCCAACATCTACATGCTCAAGCTCGTCAAGGCGTGAGACACGCCCCCGTTTGGCCGCGCGACCGCGCGGGCTCCCCGACATTTTACACACTCCCCGATTGATTTACGTCCCGATGAGGAGGAGCGCGGCGTCCTCGACGTCGCCGCGCGTCTGCGCGAGCGCGTCCGCGGCCATGGTCCGGCCGAAGCCCATGGCCGTGAGCTGGGCGACGAGCGCCTCGTCGGCGGCGCCATCCTTCCTTTCGAGCACCTCGTCGTCGCGCGCCACGCAGCCGCCCTGGTCGCCGGCTTCGTCGTCCAAGCCCAGGGCCCAGAGCCCGTCGGACCAGCGGTTCGCGCCGAGGTCGACGACGACCGCGCGCGCGCTGTCGTACAGGACGACGCAGGGCCGGCCGTTCTGCGACGCCAAACTCAGCAACTCGCTGTCGTCCTCGTCGAGGGGAAGCTCCGGGGCTTCCGAGTCGTCGAGCGAGTATCTCCAGAGTTTGACGCGACGAGGGCTCCCGGTGCGCCGCACGGGCAGCGCCGGCGGCAGCGCGCCGCCGGCGCACAGGACGTCCGCGAGCACGGGATCGAGGAGCAGCATGCGGTCCAAATCGACGGCCGCGCGCTCCAGCAGCGACGCGCCCGCGGGGACCTTGACGAGCCGCTTGGCCCCGACCACGAGGGCGTCCTCGAGCTTCTCGGCCTGCGCGGCGTCGAAGGGCGACCAGCCGGCGGACGCGAGGAACGACCAGCCGGGCCCGGGCTTCGCGTCGGCCTCGCCGCGGTCGCGGAACCAGGTGAAGGCGTCGGCGGCCGCCTGGATCTCGTCGGACCGTGGGACGGGCAGCTGCGGCGCGCTCGGCTTCACGGGCCGCGCCGACGGCAGCTCCGCGAGGATCTTTTTTCTCGCGCGAATCGCGGCGTTCTTCTTCTTGATCCGCCGGCGCTCCTTGCGGTCCGCGCGGTTCAGGAAGACGAGCTTGGTCATGGCTGCCCGCCTTTACACTTTTACACGAATAAAGCGATGTTGAAGGATAACTTTGCCTCGCCGCCGTATCGCGCTCACGCTGCGTCGACACGCTGCCAACGCTACCAACGTGCGCTCGAAACGCGCTGAGAACGTCTGTGTGAGCTCGCGCCTGCGAGGCCGCGCGCGCACGCGCAACGACAGATAAAAAACGCGCGCGTCGCTGAGCGCGTCGGTCCACGGCACAACACAAACGAGCCATGGCCTCGGACGGCGTCTGGGTGACGGCGCCGTCGCCGTCGAAGCTGCGCGGCGTCGGCGACTACGTGCGGCTCAAGTACTACCACTACGCGCTCTGGTCCGGCATCTACATGATGGACAAGAACGAGGCGCGCGCGATCAACGCGCTCGTCTTACTGCTCGTCTCGCTGCTCGGCCGATCACTGTACCTCTACGTCTTCTAGAGCGCGCCCGCGCGCCCCCGTCGCGCGGCCCGGACTCGGGGCGCGCCTGCGGCGGCCGCGTAACTGTGCTTGTGGGAGAGGACGGCGACGACCGCGGGGCGAGGGACGCCGCGGCGCGGCGCTCGTCCTCGACGCGCTCTGCCTCGTCGACGCGACTTCGGTTACGTTGCGCGCGGCCGCACGGGGCGCGGTCACGGCGCCGGGGTCGACGTCTCGGGGTCCGCCGCGGGCGCGGGCGCGTCCGCGGGCGGCTCCGCGGTCGCGGCGGCGACGGACGTGCAGGCCTCGTCGGAGAACGGGTCCGGCGGCGGCTTCTTCTTGAGCGCGGCGGAGACGAGGGAGAAGTAGGAGGCCTTGAGCTTCGACGTCGGCTTCTCGGCGGTGTAGGCGAAGTCCGCGGCCAGCAGCTCGTAGAAGAACTTCGCGTGGTCGGGCCACTTGCCGTCCTTGCAGACCATGCGGATCTGCGTCGTCGCGTGGGCGTGCCTCTTGAGCGTCGCGACGAGGGCCGCGGCGTCGTAGATGGGCGCGACGGCCTCCGCGGCGAGGATGACGTCGAACTTGACCGGCGGCGTCGGTTGCTCGTCGCCGCCGGGCGCCGCGGGCCGCCAGCTCTCCTCGCTCTGGCCGTTCCGGGGTTCGCCGTCGTCCTGCGTCCAGGTCAGGCGCTTCGTCGACGCGGCGCAGCGGTTGCGGCGCAGGTTGCGCTCGAGGAGGTCCACGACGCCGCCGTCGCCGTCCGTGATCGTCACGCGCGCGGACGGGTTGTGGAGCGCGACGGCGATGCCCGTGAGCCCCGCGCCCGCGCCGAGCTCCAACACCGTCGCGCCCTCCTTCTGTAGGTTCTTGGGCGGCATGACGAGGAGCGCCTCCGTGAGCACGTACGCGCCGTCCCAGACGTGGCCGCCCTTGCCGAGCCCGCGCTCCTGCTCCATGAGCAGCTTCGTCGCGCCGACCTCGAACTCGACAAAGTCCGCGTTGATGAACTTGAGGTCGTCCTCGTACTCCTGGGACTCGAGCCAGACGCCGTAGTCGACGACGCGCTTCCGCTCGCCGTCGACGTCGCGCTCCGCTTCGACGAGCCGCTCCTCGACGGCGCCGGGCGGCGTGGGCGCCGACGGCGTCGGCGGGGGGCCGAGCTCGCGGAAGAAGACGCGCGTCGCGACGGACACGTGCTCCTTGCAGGCCCGCGCGGCGACGGCCGCGGGCGCCTCCTCGTCGCTGACGTCGTCGAACTCGCGGCCGTAGAGGCCGGCCTCGTCGTAGTCGACGCTCAGCACCTCGGCCATCGCCGTCTCGCTGTGCTCGTCCCCGATCTCCACGAAGATGGAGCCCACCTTCCGCCGCTCCGGCCGGCCCATGGCTGCCCGCAAATGTCCAGCACACCTTAAGCGAGTGCTGTAGGGACCCTAATAAACTTCATTTAGGCGACGGTGCCGTTCTTGCTAAAAGGGCATGGGCTGCCCGCATCGACGGCATGGGCAGTCCGCATCGACATGCGCTGGCTCGTCCTGCTGCGGGTCGCCGCGGCCGTCGACCTGCTCGCGGTCCTCTCGGACCACGGCAGCGGGTCGTCGGAGCTCAACAAGATGCTCGGCAAATGTCGAATGCTCGCCTCGAAGTCCTCCTCGAGGGTGAGATCCTGCTCCATGGCGCGGCTCGAGGCCCTCGCGCGCGAGCGGGCTGCCACGGGGTCGATGGTCGATGGAGAAGACGCGCGCGCGTCGACCGGCGCCGCGGCGAGTCACCGGCGCCGCGCGCGCGGCGGCGCGAGCGGCGGCGGCGGCGGGAGCGCCGCGTCGGCGAAGAAGCGGCGGCGCCGGTCGTCGAAGGCCTCCGCCCCGCGCGCGCGGCGCCGCTCGAGCAACGCGTCGAGCTTCGCCGCGGCCGCGTCGTGGAGCGCGGCGTCGACGCGCGCGGTGTTCGCGAACGCGCGGCGCGTGGCCTCGGAGAGGCGGAAGTAGTGGACCGAGGGGTTGCGGCGCGAGGCGCCCTCGACGGCGCGGGCGAGGCCGTCGACGTCGAGGCCGAAGCGGAGCGCGAACGCGAGCGCGGTGTCCGCGAGGCGCTCCGTCGTGCCGACGACGGCGAAATCCCGCAGGCGCTCCAGGGCGGCGGACCGGACCTCGGGCCGGCGGCAGGCGGCGTCGTCGCGCCCCCCCGCGCGGGGCGTCTCGGCGGGCCAGAATTGCGACGCGTTCGCGAGCGCGCCGAAATCCGCGTCGCCCGCGAAGGCGCACCGCGCGAGCACGTCGCCGTCGCAGAGGCTCAGGAAGCGCGCCGGGAGCAGGGGCGTCCCGTGGGTCCACGCGACGTCGTCCCAGGTGGCGCCGCCCGCGGCGGGCGCCGCGCAGTCCGGGCCCGAGCACGCGAACGGCGCGCCGTCGCCCGCCGCCAAGGCCTTGCCGCGCGTCGCGAGCTTATTCGTGCGGGACTCGGCGAGGGCCACGGGCTCGCGCACCACGGTGAGCGCCGCGTACCCGAGCCGCTCGAAGGCCGCCGCGACGCGCGCGTCGTAGTGGTGCAGTTCGACGAACGAGCAGTTCCTCGCGGCGAGATCGCGGATCCGGTCGCCGCACGCCGTCGGATCCACACCGTGCTTCGGACCATCCTCGCGCTCGCCGTCCTCGAAGCTCTGGAGCGTGCAGACATGCTCGAGCACGCCGCAGAAACGCCCGTCGGCCTCATGGCACCACTTGCTGTAGCGCGTCATCCAAGCCATGAAGCTCCCGCCGCCGCATTGATTCACGTGGAGGAACACGGCGCGCCGCGGGTCGACGCCCGAGGCGCCGCGCGTAGCGCACGCCGCCAGCGCCGCCCGGACGAGGCGACGCATCATCCTTGGCTGCCCATAGTGCTGTAATTATTTATAAATAAGTTCAATTTTGGCAACGGTGCCGTTCTTGCTAAAAGGGCATGGGCTGCCCGCATCGAAGGGGATGGGCAGATCGATAGATCTCATGCGCTGGCTCGTCCTGCTGCGGGTCGCCGCGGCCGTCGACCTGCTCGCGGTCCTCTCGGACCACGGCAGCGGGTCGTCGGAGCTCAACAAGATGCTCGGCAAGCTCGATCCGTGCATCGTCGCCGCCGGCGAGCTCTTCGACCCCGGCGAGCGGCTCCTCGGCGTCGCGCGCAACGGGACGAGCGGCTGCAAAACGGCGCTGCGCGGACGCCGGCGCGGCTTTTACGCAAACGTTCGGTCACGCGTCGCTCAGGTTCGACGCCCGGACGCTCGAGCCGCTCGTGACCCCGTGCGAGGAGCCGCCCAAGTACGTGTCGTCCGTCGTCACGACGCTCAGGAAGCGCGGCGCCGTGCGCGCCGGCACCGCGGAGCGCCTCCGCGCGCTCCACGCCGACGGCAAGACGCTCGGCGCCGCCTACGGCTTCGTGCGTCGCGTGCGGCGCATCGCCTGCGACGAGGCCGCGCGCGGCGCCGCGGCCTGCGGCGGGCGCTGCCTCTTCGCCCACAAGGTCTTCCCCGTCTACACGAGCTTCAACGTGACGCCCGCGCGTCCGCCCGCGCCCGAAGGAGACGAACCGTCGACGGGACGACGTCGCCCCAGGTCTTCGAGTACCTGCGCCAGAGCTCCGTCGCCGTCGTCCAGCTCGAGCGCGTCGACGAGGCCGCGCGGCGCTACTCGAACTTCCGGCGCTTCGAGTTCCCCAAGTGCGTCGCGAGCCTCGGGTTCCCGCCGGAGGCGGTCCAAATCGTCGCGGACGCGCAGCCGCGGACGCTCGCCGGGTACCGCGCGGCCCTCCGCGGGTCCCCCTACTACGCCGAGTGCCCCTGCGCCAAATGCGACGCCGCGCCCGCGCGCCACGGCTTCCACGACTGGCTCGACCGCGTCGCGCGGCCGCGGCTCCCGCGCGTGCCCTGGCTCGCCCTCACCTTCGAGGAGCTCTTCGGCGGCAACGCGACGGACGCGACGCGGGCCGCCGACGCCCTCGCGGCCTTCGTCGCCGGACTCGAACCCCCGTAAGGCGCGCGCGCGTTTCGCGCGCGCGCGGCTCACAGGGCCTCCTCGGCCGGCGCGCCGGGGAGCAGGGAGCTCAGCCACCCGCCGACCCGGTAGGCGCCGACGCCGGCGAGCAGCGCGCCGGCGAAGTAGGCGAAGACCGTCATGGCCCGCGCCTTGCGCTCGATTTTCACCGTCCGCGCCGACCGGAACCCGTCCCAGGGGAAGCCCTCGGGCAGCTCGTCGAGCGCGTCCATGCCGTCGTAGGTCAGGATGCGGCCCGACGCCGGGTCGACGACGCAGAGGCTCGGGAGCTCGCGCACGCGGCAGGCCTCCATCAGGTTGAAATGCGCGACGACGAGGCCGACGTTCGCGGCCGGCACGGAATAGCAGTCGCCCGGGACCTTGGCGCGGTGCCGGCAGATGGCCGTCTCCGCCGGGTCGAACTCGACGAGGGCCAGGCCCAGGCGTTTCCGTTGCCGCCGGAGCGCGTCGCGCGCGGCGACGACGGCCTCCGTCGCGCGCGGCGGCGTGTCTCCGGACGCGAAGAAGATGCCCACGGCGTCGCAGGCGTCGTAGGCCGCGTCGAGCTCGACGAGGTCGCCGGACCCGTCCTCGAGCCGCCCGGGCAGCAGCGTCGACAGCGGGTGCTCGGGCTTGGGCCGCGACACGAAGCGCACGTCCCGCCGTTTCAGGGTCGCCGGCCCCCACTTGTTGTGCGGCGGCGCCCACTCGACGACGACGTCGTCGTCGTCGCCGTCCGCGGCGAGCACCGTCGCGCGGTACTCGTCCGTCCGGTAGCGACCCAGCACCCGGTCGCCGGGCTGGATCCTCCCGTCCATCGCGAAGCGAAAATAAACGCGCCAACTTTACGGGCTGTGCAGCTCCGTGGGATGATCTTGCAGTCGTAATTAACGCCAACCTCGACACGATCCTCGAACGCTCTCTAAGACCCGCAGCCCAACCAGCCTCGATAACCCACCCGACAGCACGCCATGGCCTCCAGCCACCGCCTCAACGAGCTCGTCCACGCCCTGCTGTCCGCCACCAAGAAGTCGGCCGAGTCTCAAGCCGAGGAGGGCAAGCTCACCGTCGCGCTGTCGCTGGAGCTGAACTCGCTTTTCCTCGAGGACAAGCGCGCCAACCGGCACTGCCGGTCGATCAAGGCCTTCGTGGCGCACCTGCGCAAGGAGGGCGTGACCATCCCGCGGCTCTCGTCCCTGTCGATGGACGCCGGCATGGCGATGTCGCGGCTGTCCGAGCTCTGGCCAGCGTGCTACGTCAGCGCGCAGACGTTCCTGGACATGGGGAGCTCCAAGGACCTGAGCGACGAGGACCGGGCGCTCCTCCGCGCCTTCTACGACGACGAGTTCGCCGAGTTCAACAAGATCATCCGCGATCGGCACACCACCTGGGCCACCCTCGTGGAGAGCGACGATGACAAGGAGGTCAAGGCCGCGAAGCGCGAGCGCAAGCTCCTGCAGCGCAAGGAGGACCGCGAGGCCGAGCAGCGCGAGCGCAAGGCGCGCGAGGAGCGCAAGGCGCGCAAGGCGCGCAAGGCGCGCGAGGAGTCGGGCGAGGACGAGGAGCGCGAGGAGTCGGGCGAGGACGACGACGACGAGCCGGACGCCGAGGAGGAGGACGCCGACAAGGCCAAGCCCGCCGCGGGCAAGGGCGCCGCGCCCAAGCCCGCCACGAAGAAGGGCGCCAAGCCCAAGCCCGCCGAGGGCAAGCCCGCCAAGACCAAGGACCTCAAGCGCAAGCGCGGCGTCGCGGACGACGACGACGAGGAGCCCGTCGACCTCACGGAGGACGAGGAGGAGCCCGCGGCGAAGCGCTGCATCTTCGAGCAGATCGGCACCTACATCTCCGACAGCGGCGCCTACATGCTCGACCAGGTGCCCGCGGACTACCGCCCGGGCACCGTCGCCTTCTTCAAGTACGGCCTGCTCCCCGGCATCGCCTTCAACGTCGGCCTGCGCAAGTGAGCACCGCGGCGCGAAGGAGGCCGCGCGCGAGGCGGCCTAAGATTCGGAGCCCCTTAGACTATGCACGCCTGAGCGCGTAGGCTCCGGGAGCGCGGAGGGGGCGAGCGCGTCGCGGCCGCAGATGCCTCAGCGGCGCAGCGGCGGGCTGCGGCGGGACGCGCCGCGAGCGCGACGCGCCGCGAGCGCGACGCGCCGCGGGCGCCGTCGGGGCGCGGTCCGGCTCCGGCGCGTCGCCGGACGGCGCGGGCGACGCGGCCTCGAGCGCGGCCTCGAGCGCGGCTTCGAACGCGGACCGCGCCTCGAGCAGCGCCGCCTGGCGCTCGACCTCGAGCGCCGCCGCGTCACCCCGCGCGGCCTCGGCGCTCCGCTCCGCCAGGTCGCGCTCGAGCGCGTCGCGGTCGCGCGCGGCCGACGCGTCGGCCGCGCGCGGCGACGCGCGCGTCCGCGTCGCGGCGCCAGTCGGCCTCGCGGTCCGCGAGCTCGGCGTCGAACTAGGCCGCTCGAGCTGCGCCGCGAGGCTCTCCGCGCCCGCGCGCTGCGCCTTGGCGACGTCGTCGGCCGCCGCGAGGCGCTCGCGCACGACGGCCTGCTCGAGCGCGGCCTCGCGGTCCGACGCGACGGCCGCGAGGGCGCCCGCGTGGGCCGACGCGGGCGACTCGAGGGCCTGCTTCTTGCCGTCGTCGAGGCGGCTCCGCTCGGCCCCCGCCGCGAGCGCGAATTCGTCGCGGAGCCGCGCCTCCGCGGCGTCGACGGCGTCGCGGCGCTCGCGGTCCTTGCGAAGCTCGGCCTCCTCGACGGCGAGGCGCAGCTCCGCGGCGAACTGGAGCGCCGACGCGTCGAGGCGCTGCGTGCGCTCCGCTCGCCGCGGAGGTCCTCGAGCTCTTCGGCGTGCTCGCCGCGGAGCCGCGCCTCGAGCGCGTCGAGCGCCGCGCGCCGCGCGGCGTCGGCCTCGGGGGTCGCCTCGCGGTTCCGGTCGCCCTGGACGCGGAGCGCCTCGAGCGCGGCCTGGAGGTTCGCGGCGTGCGCGGCCTCGGTGTGCGCGACCGCGGCGTCGCGCGCGGCCGCCGCGTCCGCGAGCTTCCGCTTCGCGTCGCCCGTGAGCTCGTCGCGGAGCTGGCGCAGGGCCTCGGCGCTCGCTGCCGCCGCGGTCGTGCGCTCCGCCCGCAGCTTCGCGAGCGTCTCGTCGACCTCGACGGCGCCGGCCGCGCGCTGCTCCGGGAGCTCGGCCTGGAGCCGCGCGACCTCGCCCCGGAGCGCGCCGGCCCGCTCCT